CATGTAACAGGCCTTATCCACCACCAGCCACCAAAGCCATAAATTGCCGCAGAGACGGTGACAGTGATAGATTAGAATTTTTCCCATCAAACCGGAACGTGTCGTGTCTCCTTCACAGGCTGTGTTGACGGGAAGATAATTTACTTAGAAAATTTCGCAGTGCATGCTAAATTAAATCCCCTTCCCTCCCCTCATCACACTGTGGGTTCCCCCTCTTAAGCCAAGTACAAGTCTACTTAATTGATCCCTAACGTCTCCCCACCCAACTCAGAATGCATGGCTGATACCAGGCACAAATGTGGCTTCTGTCCAGCAGTGGAAGGGACCCCCTCGCTGTGAACAAGGAGCAAGGGGGGGGGGGATTTGGATCAGGCAGGCCTTTTCCTTCAGTCTAAAAGATGAGATGGAGAGGCAAGGGAAAAATCAGTGACAGAGTGGAGGAATTTTAAGTGCTGATTACAAGAAAAATTAATTTGCGCTATAGGGCCTGTGGGTACAGGTTACAAAATGAGCCAGCATCTCATCCCAAATGCAAAGCTCTGCACCATGGCCTGGCTTGGGTCCTCTTGTTCACAGCCAGGTGGAAGGTCAGGTCTGCCTTGTGAGCCCCCCCCGGAGGGCTGGAACCTTCCCTGCACCCCACACGGCGCTAATAACACAGCAGCAGGGCCTCATTTAACCCTCATGCTCTGGGGCTGCTGGCTAAGTCCTCAGAAGTCGGCAAGCTCACCTTTAAGTGGGAGGGAGGTGTCCACATTGACGGAGAATCACAAAGCCCTCTGCACAGCCCGACACCTGAGAAGCTAATCATGTTGTTAGCAGCTGTGGTTATTGTTAGGTGCCTGTGAATTGAGTACCACTCAGTGATTCGATGAACAGACCTGAACCCTGTCCTGTCCCCGCGATCTTCATCATCTCTGACACACTTTAATCCGTTGCTGTGAGGATCTATCTGGCTGAGGGTCTTTCTTTCACTTACCCTCCATCTGTCCAGGCATCTTCTCCCAGCAACGTGCCCAAAGTCTGTCACATGTAGCTTCACCATCCTCGGCTCCAAGGAGCACTCTGGTGGCACCTTCTCCAAGACACAACTTTTGGGAGTCCGTGTGAACAGCTGTGGAGAGGGGCCCAACTCCCAGAGACCTACGTACAGCAGAAGGAATGGTGCCCAGCCCTGCTCTGTCCTCATGGTCAACCATGAATGTGGCCACTGTGCACCTGAGTGGCCGCCTGCATGTGGCCTCGCCCGCCAGCACCGTACCCTGTGGGTTCTCAGGGAGTCCACAGGGCTTCCACTGGCTGACTTTCGACCTTGGATGGCCGGAACGACTTCCTGTCCAGTATGGTAACTCTGCTGGTCTTTGAAATGTTGATGCCATAGCTTCAGCATCACCACAACATGCCAGTCACTACAGAAACACCACTGTGACACTCAGGGGGGGTGGAGGATATTAACACTGAGCTGCAGGTCTTCCAAATAGGTCCCTGTGAACCCGAGCTCTTGGCTGTGAGGGGTGAGGACCTGGTGGTGACAGGGCTGTCACCCTGTCACATCCTGAAAGGTGACTTCACCTCTCCCCTTGTGACTGTGTGTAGGTCACGTAACCTCCGTCCCTGACGTCGTGTAACACCGGCATCTCGCTCACCAGGTTCAAGACCACCTGTGTGTGCCCAAGGTCAGATGGGACAGAAGTGTCCCAGTTCAGTGTCACCAAGATGCAGGCCAATGTGGGGTTAACCATGGCCGTGCACGTCTAAGGTGTCAGTGCATTTATCTACGAGCCCAGATGGCACAGGGGTTAGGCTGCTAACAGACGGGTGTGCGGTTCACATCAACCAGTTTCACTCCGGGGAAAAATGTGGGCAGTCTTCTCCATTAGATCTACCACCCCAGAGCCCGAGGGAGAGGGCTACGTGCTGGCTCAGACTCAGTGGTAGTGGGTTCTGTGGGTCAAAGCCCTGATGATCTGCTTCCGTAAGGATCATGGCCAGAAAGCCCATGGTCAGCTCTGCCCATCGCAGCAGCATGGAGCTATGGGTCAGAACCGGTCTGACGGCGCAGAAGAGCAGTTCAGCACCAGACTCAAACCCCAAAATTTTTCCACCAAAGGGATGTGCTTGTTCCCTGAGAACACTGGTTTGATAAGGACGGGTGAATTAGATATTGGCAACCTACAGTGGGGATACCAGGGCATGGGGCAGGCAGTAGCTGGCTTATACACCTTCATAAATACAGTTTTTAGTAAGATTATTGTAAGGAGAAAGTTATTTCTTCAATACAGGGGTTAATGGCTAGAAAAGCCAGCGGGTGGTCTGTAGTATTAACGGTTCACTGTTCAAAACTCTTTCCTAGACACTGAGTTTGACTTTGCCACCTGGACGGGCAAGGGCAGGCAATCGGGGTGTGTTGGTCTGTTCTCAAGGGGATTGGCTAGTCTTGTCATTAAATCGAGCGGACGGAGCAGCAGAAATTGAGAAACTCACCCCCAGAAGGAAAGCAGCAGAGCATACAGAGTGCAAGTCCTTCAGAGCTGGGGCCCCAGCCGAGAGCTGACGAGCTGACGTGCAGAGCCCGGGTCCCATTCAGACCAGGGCGTGCAGGAGCTGCAGCCATAGCAGACAGCTGACATGAAACACAGCTGACCTTGGGACTGCTGCCCCCCAGAACCAGAGCTCGAGGCCTGCACCCACGTTCACTGGAGCACAAGGGGAAGGAAGCGTTAACTGAGGACTAAGAGCTCTGTCTCACTGGGCTAATGACCCGAGGCTGAAGCGTGAGGGGCCTGCAAGCACACTCATCCTACTGCAGCCTCAACTGTAGCCTTTTGGTGAAGAGACTGAGATTGTACACAGCTTTAGTTTGCTTGGCTCCATAGTCAACAGTCTTGGCACCAGCAGCCAGGAAATTAAAAGGCGCATTGCCATGGGAAAGTCTGCTGTTAGGGACCTCTCCAAAGTACTGAAGAGCAATGGTGTCTCTCTGGAGACTAAGGTGCATCTGATACAGGCTATGGTCTTCGCAATCACTTGTTATGCATCAGAGAGTTGGACAATGACCAAGGAGGATAGAAGGAGAATTGATGCCTTTGAGCTGTGGTGCTGGAGAAGAGTACTGAGAATACCATGGACTGCTAGGAAAACAAACAGATCTGTCCTGGAAAGGGTTAAACCGGGTGGCTCCTTGGAGGCAAGGATTCTGAGGCTCCGTCTAACATACTTTGGACATGTTGTGAGGAGAGACCGGTCCTTGGAGAGGGACATCATGCTTGGGAGGGTGGAGGGACGGCGGAGGAGAGGAAGGCCCTCTATGAGGTGGATTGATTCAGTGACTGGGGTAATCGGGATGGGAGTGTCAGAGACAGTGCGATTGGCACAGGACAGAGCGGAGTTTAGGGCTGTTGTACATAGGGTCGCTATGAGTCGCAAGCGACTCGATGGCACATAAACAACAAACACCAACAAACGCCATAATTGTGAAGGAGCAAACACACAACAAAAGGAAGCCAAACAGCTCCTATCGCACTGACTACAACTCGCTGCAGGCCCGAGAGGGTTGCACAGGGCCGTGCTCCACCGCTTTCCACAGCAGGACCTCTGGGCAGGAGAGGGCTCTGTGTAGACTCCCACACTAGCCTCTCAGCAGGTGATCAAATTCTTAACCTCTAGTGCTGCCAGGGCACTCTGCACCTGGACGTAAAACACCCAACCCGACCCAACCCACAGCCATCACACGGTCCCGACATGTCCGGACCCCTAGGGCAGGGCAGAACTGCCCCGGGGTTTCCAAGAGCAATCTTGGCAGGAGCAGAAGACCTCGTCTTTCTCTCATGGAGCGACTAGGGATTCAAACCACTGGCCTTCTCATTAGCAGCCCAATTATTAGTCCACTGTGCCATCAGGGCTCTTAAGCCTGGCCCACAGAGGGTAATAATAACACATTTTAAAATAGGAAAAGAAGAACCCAGCTAGCCAGCCAGCACAAGTTTAACCTAAAATAGTATCAGGCAGGCCAAAAGAGAGCAGAGACGGGCCAGCGTAGGGACACTCGGGGAGGACAGGAAAGGCCGCATGTAGAGCCCCCTCCTGTCCTCTCCCCCTTGTGGTCCCCGCTCCCTTCCTCCCAGCCCAGGGGGCAGGCACACTGTGGGGTCCCAGGACGTGTGGCATTTAATGCAAGCTTGGAGCATAAACATTCAGTTAAACAGCACTGGACAGAGAAGATTGTCACTTTATTGTCCCCCAAGTGCAGTGTGGAAAGGGGGTGCTGCCACTTTTTGGCTGGAAGCAAACCATCTGCCGCATGCCAGCAAATGGAAGATAAAATCGAGAACGTCAACCGGTACCCCAAAGTCCATCTGACTGCTCATGAGGAGAAAGGTAAGCGTCTGCATGGGCGGGGTCTCGGTGTGGAGGGGTGGGAGGTGCCCAGCTGAGGCCAGAGGACCTTCTGTCACAGCCACCTCGCCTCCATACACGGGAACGTGCAGTCCTTAAAAAACCAAACAATTCTGAGATGTAGTTGGGACTCCTGTGAAGGGGGCTTAGGAGCTCAGAATCCCGCGGGCCTCACTCACAGAAGCTCCCCAAGACTGGGGGCCCCATCTCCACAAGGTCTCTTTCCATAGGACAGATGCCTCCCTCTGCGGGGGTGTGAGGAGCCCAGGGAGGACTCTGGTTCTAGGCTGGAAGCAGAGCTGGGAGGGCACCCAGGAGGGTGCTGACCGGGGCTGCGGTCTTTCTGAATCTTGCTGTGAAGGGGTGACATGGTAGGGGGTGTGTGCTGGGGGAGTTGATGCAGAAGTCTTCCGGAAGCTGAGGATACGAGGCAAGGGGGTGTGTGTGTGTGTGTGTGTCTGTCGGTGCTGGGGAGGGCGGGAAAGGTGAGTCGCCAGCCCTGTCCTGCTGACGAGCCTGACCACCTTGCCCATCCAGGGACGGACACAGGGTAGCAGTGGGCAGTGTGGTGCTGCAGGGCTGACACTGGGAGGGCGTCAGGCGTCCTACAGCTCCGGGCCCGGCGTGTCCAGGGCCTGCTCCTGCACGTGGGGCACGGCCTCCTGCATGTAGAAGATGAACTCGGAGGCCTCGCCGCCCTGTGTGTACACCGTGACCGTCTCGATGCCGTCCATGTCATCGGAGGACACCACCAGGTGGTGCTCCTCGGCCAAGGTCTGCTGCAGGGTCTCCTGGATCATGACCGTGTGGTTGGAGGTGGGCTCCTCTGTCACCTGCAGGGAGGAGAGAGACAGGTGACACGGGGGCTGGGCCACACCCTCTAAGCAGAACAGTGTTAAGAGCCCCAGATGACACAGCCCCACGGCCTGGAGACCCCACATGACACACCCCGAGGCCTGGAGGCCCCGCAGCCTGGAGGCCCCACGTGACACAGCCCCGCGATCTGGAGGCCCCGTGGCCTGGAAGCCTCACAGCCTGGAGGCCAGGAGATCCAGGTGCCCCACCACTGCCAACCACTGCCAAGGTTACTGATGTGCAGTGGTCGTGTACCATCTAGTGGGAGCCAACCCACAGCTGACCTTCCAGCAGGTTTTCAGAGGCTGTAAATCGCACGGGAGGAGATGCCCAACCACATCCTGCAGAGCAGTGGGTGGATTTGAACCGCATTCATTTTTATAACACAGCTTGTTAGCACTAGGCCACCAGGGTCCCTCTCATCACAATAGAAGGGGCTAACGAGGGAGGGACGTGTGAACTAAAAGCAAAATTGTGAGAAAGTCCAGCCTTGCCATCTGGGGAGACTGGTGGAACCCCGACTCTGGCCTCAATCACCCTTCCCGCCTAGGACTGACTTCACACCTGAGGCTCAATCATCAGTCAACCCACAGACAGGTGGGAAGAGACCACTGATGGCAGGGAGGGACCACCGACGGCAGGGAGAGACCACCGACGGCAGGGTGGGACCACCGACCCACCGACGGCAGGGAGGGACCATCGAAGGTGGGGGAGGGACCACGGACAGCGGGAGAGGGACACAGTCCTCAGCGGGTACTCAGTGGAGAAATGGGGAGCATTTGCCCAAGGACAAAGTGCAAGCAACCAGATCACGACAGACTGGAGAATGGAGACAGGAAGTGCAGAAGGAAGTGGGGTGAGTGCTGTTACGTGGAGGGGCCTTCAATCAAGAGTCCTCAAGCCAAACATGTGTGAAACGCTAACTGAGAACCTTCAGTCAGTGCCAGGACCTGGGCTGTGCAGAAAGCACCCTCAGTGATGCGGCGAGCTTCCTCTCACTCCACGTCAGGGACAGACAGAACCAGGCTCAGGGATGCCACAGGGCCAGGCCCTCAGCTGAGGGAGGTGGGGGAACCGGTGTGTAAACCCACAGCCAAGCTCTTCTCTCTACTCCTGGGAGGCTGCTGGGTTGCCACGGCTACAAGCGTGGCACTTCTCCGTGGAAGTGGGGGTGAGGGGAGGGTCCTGGGGATCAGAGCTGGCCTGGGCCAAGGGAAGGGACAGGCTCTCCTGAGTATCTGTCACTGCATACTCCACTCTGAGAGACCAGTATCAGACCAGAAGAGAGGACGTGACCTTGACACTGGTTTTCCTCAACGTCCTCCATCAATGTCCTCGCCTCACCCAGGGAGCGGTAGTGGCTGACGGAAGCTCGCTGACACACACCCGGCCGTGCCAGGCCAGGCGCATCCGTCAGAGGCTGTGCAGGTCCAGATCCAGCATGCTTTGCTGGCTTCCAGAAGGCTGGGTCCTGGCAGGGAAAGGGGCCACGACCCCATCTCTGCTCTGTGGGCTCCAGGCTTTGAGCTCAAAGAAGAACCGAATTTCAGAACACGCCACAGAGGTGTGAAGAACAGAGACCAGGCACCTCTCAGACTGAAAAAGATCAATATTTACTCCCGGCGGCCTGGTTCTCCGTGTGTTGGTGAAATGAAATAGTAGGCAACAGTGGAAGCAGCAGTGGGGCCTTGGTTTACGCTGGACAGACAGATCGGTATAATCATACTAGCGGTTCCACCCGGAGCAGCTCTGAGCGCGGGTGGGTTCTGTGCATGGAAAACCCTCCCCACCCAGGGTGTGGCCGGAGCCAGCACGGGTGTTTTCCTCTGAATGACAGTCACACTGTTGCCCACCATGTTCACCAGCTGGTCATCCCGTGGTGGCCTGCATGCTGCTACAATGCTCGAAGCCACACCTCTGGTACTTAAGTACTTCCCAGGGGCCAGGAGGGGGCGAAAGGGAGCATCCCACACACATCTCACCGAGAACAGCTTTCGGTCAGGGCCGGCTGAAGGGAAAACAAGCTTAGTGGGCCCAGCGTGGGCACCCTCTGAGCCCCTAGCCCACTTCCATTTGCTGAATCCCTTATGCAATGCCAGCTGGAGGACCGGACTGGACCTGAGGCCACTTTTGCTCGGCAGGGCCACTCACCCGCTCCTCACTCTGGGTGGTCCTGCCCCCTGGGACCTGCCTCAGGCGGTGGTGGTGGGTTAGGTGCCGTCAAGTTGACTACGACTTACAGTAACCTTATGAACAACAGTGCACACCTGCCCTTGCCTGAGCCAACCTCACAGTCTCTGAAACACTTGAACCCGTTGTCGGTGTTTCAATCCATCTCATTTGGGGTCTTCCTCTCCTGTGCTGACCCCTTCCAAGCATGATGCCCTTCTCCATAGACTGGCCCCTCCTGGCAACATTCCCAAAGTACGTGAGATGAGTTTCAGAATCCGAGCCTCTAAGGAGCAGCAAGGTTTCACTCTCTCTGGGACAGACCTGTGTTTTCTCTCGGTGGTCCATGGTGCATTCAATGCTCTTCCCAGGACAGACCTATTTGTTTTCTTGGCCGTCCATGGTGTATGTTCGATGCTCTTCTCCAGCACCACAACTCAAAGGCACCACATCTTCTGTCATCCTCAGTCACTGTCCAGCTCTCAGATGCATAGCAGGCAACTGAGAAGGTAACTGTGGTGAAGTGTCCCCCATCAACGCCTCTTCCTCACCACGGCACTGCCCGGTCCCTCTTCAGTCTCTGGGGTCCTCCACAGTGGAGGTAAGCGTCACGTCTCTGGTCCGTACTCAGGCTGGTGAGCGGGCCTTCACGTCATTACCCAGCATTTTCACGGGGTGTTCAGGTGAAAACACCTGCTCACCCTCAGACTGCCGTGGGACTCGCTACGTCCTTGCGAGCGTCCTCTAGGGGCTCTGCTAACTGCAGGCGTTGCCCATACAGAAGCCCCAGGTCCCTAAAGCTGGTATGTCAGCATACCAGAGATGTCTGCTGAGGGGTGCAGCCCTGGGTGGCACAGACAGTTAAGAAGGTTGTTGCCCAGATACTGCAGAAAACCAGGACTATTCAATCAAGAGATAACTGGGCAAGACGGGTATAAGTGTTCAGAAGGGAAGGGGGCAGGGGGCAGGAAAAGGGGATGGGGGAATCTCTAGGAGAACAGAGGTTGTGGGGCAGGTGGGGGAGGTGAGGGAAACAGAAAAGATTCAACGGGAACTGAAGAGAGGAGGTGAACAGGCACAGAGCGCACATCAAGAGGCATTAATTACACCAAATACAATCGATATAGGAATAAAACACACACTACATGAAAGAAATGAATGAATGACTGTATGTAAACAAAACAACCAGAAGGTAGTCAGCTACTAATCAGACGGCTGGGAGTTCAAATCCGCTCAGAGGCATCTCAAGAGCAGTCTGACGATCTGCTCCTAAAAGCGTGGCCAGTGGAGTCCCCGGGGTACAGCTCAGCTGGGACACACGTGGGTCACAGGGAGTTAGAACAACTCCCTGACAGCGGTGCGCACCTTCTGTTTTTGATGGGGATGGGAGAGCTTTATTTAAGGAAGAGGTCTGTGGGGGGCTCTGCAGAGCACCCCACCTCCACCTCCATCTGTTCACCCCTGTGTGACCTCGCCCCCATGGAACCAGGCTCACCAGCCCCCGGGGACTCGGCGTGGAGGCTAACACAGACGTACAGCACATTTCAGGCTTGGCCTCTTCTGTTCTTTTCATGCAAATGGAGAACGGAAAAGTCAGCATGGGCCTTGACTTGCCTCGGGTCAGACAGCCTGACGGCCGCAGAACACATGCCCTGGTCAGGACAACGGCACGCTCAGACACTCGAGTCAGCACCTCATGCCTCAGATCAATGGGATTAAATGGCCCCTTATTACCCACCCTGATCACTTTACGGCGGGGTGTCTAACTCTCAGCCGTTCTTGTTCAAAATGATCACGCCAGCAGCTTAATCTATTAGCACAGGCTCAAAATTGTTCTCCGCAGCAGAAATAACACGGCTTTCACAGTCATTATCCCGTGAGATGGGTACTCCGCTTCCCCGAAAAGCAGCGGCTAGCGCATCTTTCAACTAAATGATTAGCAGCAGAAAGAGCTTAACGGGAAACCTCGGCCCACAGGACGGGACAAGCCACTCACTCCATCACCCCCGCGCAGAGCTCTACGTGTTCTCCTAGGCCTGAGGCAGACCCCCACCAGAACCTAGCAGGACGAGGCAGTGGGGGTGCACTGGTGGAATCCTCGCCCTCTAGGCCGGAGGCCTGGGTTCGAGTCCCTGTCAGTTCACCTTATATGGAGGCTGGTAAAAGGCTATGGCTGGAAACAGGTTTCCGAGGAGATTCTAGACCAAGATGGGCAAACAAGAAAGGCCTGGATCTACTTCCAGAGAACCTAGGGAGCTATGTGCAGGCTGGCGCAGGGGCAGCAGACCCACAGTGTTTCATTTCACTGTGCGAGGGCTGGGATCTGCCTGGATCCAGCTAATGTAACGTCCGTGCAGAGGGCAGCTCCCTGAGTCGCTGTCCCATCCCTCCCTGTCCACTCAGTCTGTGGCGGCCAGTGCAGACCACACTGCCTCAATGGTCAGCCCCCAGCTTACTTTAAAAAAAAAAAAAGTATTATTTTTTGTGTGTGTACTGTCAAATAAGATCTGACTGGTACAGGAGGAGATTGTCCCTCCTTCTCCAGCAGAGCATCTGGTGGATTAGAACCCCTCACCTCTGGGATTGCAGTGCAGCTTCCTGCCACTAGGCCAACAGAGCTCACCCCCAACTTCCTTTTAAAGAGCTGTTTCAAAAGAGACCTGGTGGTTCAACAGCCAAGCGCTTGGCTACTAACTGAAAAGTTGGTGGTTCTAAACATGTCAGTGATTTCATCAAGGTCAGAGCCAAGGAAGTCCTCTGGGAGATCTGCTCCTAACGGGGTCACCGAGTCAGAACCCTATGGATGGCA